GTGCTGTAACTAGGTGGAGAAGGGGTTTTGAACAAAAAGTTATATGAAAAACACCCCGTAATTTTCGCTGAAAAATCATCCCTTGAAATCTTTCACATCAATTTAGAAACACTCGTTAATAAAATGGGAAATACATACTTCGTTTTTATTTATTTAATTGATTCTAATTAATATTTCTTAATTTTCGTATTTGTATTTTAACCAAAGAATTCTCAACGACGAAATAATAAAGAACGAATTTGTATACGTGAAATCGTTTATCCAAACTCGAGTAGTTGCAAAAAAACTTTGTTTATACTACCTACTCGTTTGATATGTGGAGGAACGCTCGGCGCTACCACGTCTGGAATTAAGTCTGCAATAGGACGAACAAAAATCAAAACTCCCCATTTAATTAGCAAGGCAATTTTTGGTTCTCTGTTATAAAAAAAGGACAGATATTTTTTAAAATATTTAGATGTAATGTTTAATGTAATTAAATATTTTATAAGTTAAACAATTTCGTGTTCAATTACATAACTTCACTTAATCTTTTATTCTGAGTATGCAACTTCTACTACAAGTTGGATTTTCAATTTTATTCAATTCATTCATAAATAATCTTTTTCTCGTTTGCCGTTAGAGGCAGCACGAGCTAGAGCAACCCAACTCGTCCGGTTGGATAACTATGTATATCTATAAACAAGGATAATACCTTGTGACTCATATCACAATAGATCTCATAAAGCTGCAGCTTTTAGAGCTTATCTTTATAGATGTTTTAATACACCACTTTCTGATAACGAAAAACAAACAGAATTGAACATAATTAGATCTATAGGTTTAAATAATGGTTATGAAATTCAGGAAATTGATTCTTTAATCAATAAATTTTTAATTAAACAAAATTTAAAATCTTCTACCTCCCTTCAACCTATTTCAGATAACAATAAAATATATAAATCTATTAACTACCCTGGTCCGATAGCTTACAATATTCAGAGAATTTTTAAAAAATATAACATCAACATATCCTACAAAAATAACAACACTATACAGAAAATTTTATTTAATGCTAAAGATAGATTAGATATTTTGGATCAAAATGGAACAGTGGATGAAACAGGAAGATGTCTTAAAACAAGAATAAAAGAACATATTCAAAGAGAAGAATCCAATTTTGGTAGACATTTAATGACTTATAACCATGAATTTTACATAGACAATATGTCTCTCTGTTGCATAAACAAAATAACCCTTATTTTGTTTTTAAGCTTAATTTATTGGAATCGTACGAGATTGACAGGTTCAGGTTCAACAATAATAATGTGGAATGTCTTAACGACCAAGTCTTTTACACAAAAATACCACTTTATAATTGTTTATCCAGTCCGTTTCCCCAAAATACCGAGGAGTATCATATCCCTCGGTATTTTGCGGTACCATATCCGCAGATTTTGGGGTCCTTGCGGCTACTCCCAACTCCTTTCTAGTTAATCCTACACATTTGACAATCCTTTCCTTAGTTCAATTAAAAATTGTTTTCTTTTAATTGCTACAGATGAATAATATTTTAATTTTTAATTATTTTTCGTTTGTTGTCTTTTGCTTTTCATTTCTGATCAGACATGTGTGACATTCTTTCGGAACACCCCATGATATTATTCTAAAAATACACCGTTGTGGAAAAATTTTACTTTTTAAGAACATGTTTTATTTCTTTCTTGAACCATTTGGCCAAGAGTTTTTAACTTGTATTCGTCGTAGTTTTAAAGTGTTTTTTGTACAAATAGTATAAAAAGAAAATTTTTTGAAATGTTAACTTTAAGGGGGGAAACCACATTAGGAGGCTCATTTTCATTGATCTTTTAGGATTTTTTTTGGGTGGGAAGAATTGATTAGAATTTAATCAAATTTTGACACTATTTTGTTTATAGTGCGAACAACTTTTGTGAATTTTTTTGAAAAATTTTATAGAAAAATAACAAAGTTATTCACTGATGTCCGCTGGACGTCGTACCTAGAGTTCTCCAATTGCGGGACGTATAGCCATTTCAATTTTCATCTAATATCTTTTTTTTTTTTACTAATTATGCAAAAAAAAATTCTCTTAAAATCATGATATCATCTCAAAAGTTGGTTCATATATTTCGTAACAACGTTATTTCATAAAGAATCATACTATCAATTTTCATAATGATTGGTTCATTACTTTTTGAGTTAGAGTTTCCGCAAATGTGAAAAAAGTCATTTTGTGAAAAACGCGTTTGAAACGAGAAATCTCGAAAACTAGAAATTTAGAAAAGTTAACAATAATATAAAGTAGTCACCGATTAATCCGCGATTCCAGCACCATACATGAGTCCTTCTTCTTCCTCATAGGCTTCATTTTGCGCTTGCAGCATTGCTTTTCGAGCTTCCCGACCTTCCTTCGACTTCAATGAACTACGTCGATTCTGTCGACTCACGCGCTGGTTATCTATTTGTTTAGCGTACTGGAAGCTTTGCGTACCTACTACAATTCCTGCTTCGTTCATGATCATCAGAAGGAGTGCAAATGTTTAGGAACTAATCGCGAAATTGTGAAATTAAAGCTTTCATTTGCGTTTCGCGTGTGGCCACCTAAACATCTTTCCAGTAATTCATCCCTTGATAAATCTTCATATATATGCAGAATTTCCTGCTCTATGTCGGGATGCAATGGAGTAGAATGCGGTGCAAGCTCCATACCAAGAGCTGTTCGCCACACGCACCAGCTGTCTTCTCCCTATGGGCAACACTCGTGTCGAGGATTTTCATCGGTGGATATATGTACATAGATAGTATGTCGCCATAATCGCTGTTTTCATATTTTCTACACTATCGATGTATGTCTTCGAATCGCTAGTCCATAGTAAGTGCTGAGCTGTTTCGCTAATATTAATAATTTTTTTCGCTAATAATTTTTCACAAGTCAATCACGCGTGAGTCACCTGATTCATATGTTCACGTAAGTGGTATGTGTGACCCGCGTGGTATAGATCGTGAGCGGGCATAAAAAAATCACTAACGCGCACATCTCTAGTATAGGCTACGGCAAACCGCTCGGTTCCATGCTCATAAAATCTAAAGGAATGCGAATTTCGGTTTGTAATTTTGACATCAATAAAAAAAAATCGATTTTTTGAACCTTTTAATGTGGTTTCCCCCCTTAAGTTAATAAATAGACTGCGTAAGTAATAATAATTATAAATTTTATATTTTTCAACACTTATTTATATAACTTTTTCAATTTTCTTTGTTGTTTAACAACATGTTTTTTGATGATTAATTTTTTGATGATTATTTTTAAAATTTTTGATTTTAATTTGAAATTGTACGTCTTCTTGTAGAGTTCAAAGCTCTACATGATCGAATAGATCGAAACATGTCAGCTTCTAATGAATAAATAGTTTTTAACAAGTAAAAGTACAAAATTTATTACTTTCAAATCAATCATTATCCTGTTGAAAGATGAAATCTCGCAAACATTCCAATTTTTATTTAATTTTTTTATTTAATTACTTAAAATTAGTAAGACTCAAGTTTATTATCTAATTAAAGGTATTTATGAATGTTTTTCTAACAGCATACCAACTCTTTAATATAATTTCGCGTTTTACGATTTCACGTAATGATTTTCATGCTATATCAAATTTTGCTATTATTTTTCTCTGTTCATTTGAAATATCAGTTGACTTTCAATCCACTTTTTTGAAAAAAACAGCGCTTAACAATTAAAAAGGTTAAAAATCTTGTATAACAGCAATTATCTACAGAAAAATACAATCTTGCAACCTGTATGAATACTGTTTTAGCTGTCAACTGTGAATATAATGCTCTTTAGCATACAATTTTGAACTATATAGGTAGGAAGACATCCACTTTTACTTTCACTCTTTTAAGTGAAATAAATCATCAAAAATATTTGAAATTTGTACTCCAGTCTTGAGTAATTGGTGATTAATTAATTTCTTGGTGGGTGTACGAATAATACTTTAATTAGATTGATTTAAATAAGATTTTTTGTTATTGTTTAAGAGATAGGTACTAAGAGTTTAAGATTTATCGTTGTTTTAAGACAATTATCATTTTTTGACTTAAACTTTAACGTTTTCAAATTAAAAACTGTAATCATAACATAATACAAACCGTTTCTGTTGTTCTTGAATCTGAGGTTTAGCAACTTTACGTCTTTTCGGGCTGTAAGTAAAGAATTATAAATAATAACATGTAACAAATTTGATAATTTTACCTATTATCATCTTCATCATCATCAGATATGCGATAATTAACAATCACTTTGCATCTTCGTGTTCTTTTTCTTGGCATTTTCCTTTAATAAACACCAAACTCACAATGTTAAGAAATAAAGGTTGTATGATTAAAACTTAAAATTTACTGACTAATAATATTATGTGAGTGATTTAAAGTAATGAATAAAACAAGTACTTCTCCTAATTTGTTTTAATTTATCTTTTTACACAATATTAAGCCATCCATAGCTGTTTTCGTTAAATTTTTAATGACACTTGACTGCACTTGACAGTGTAAGCAATGTGTCCAACCTATATGTGAAAAATTACCCTAAATTATTATAGTTTATAAATATTTCATGACATTTTTATATAAAAATTAATATAATTATTTATAAATTTTTAAATAACTCTCATTATATTTCGTCGTTTTAATAGCTAATCATTAAATATGTTTCTAATAATAATTATATGAGGTTTCTAGTAAATGGCAAGAGATGGCACCAATTAATTTAAATTTTGACATTTTTACCCAACTTTATAATGCTTTTTATTATTTGTCCACGACTACCTTATAATATATACCTTATGAATGAGTTTTCTAAAACAAAATGATAGTTATTTTTCACGAAGTGAATAATAATCATTATTCACGGGCATTCATCAGCCCCAGGGATCTTTGATAGGAGAACTTGGGACTGATTGTATGTCGAAATCCCCCCGTAAGATGGCATTAGGTCTATACTGAAATAATTTAATTAAACTAACAATTTTATTATTAATAGTGGGAATGATGAGAGACAGCAATAACAATTATTGCTAGTATCATTCTTTTAATTTAAAAAGTATAGATTACAATTCGTTTTATATTTTTAAATTTGCTGCTGAATGACAGATGAAAACGTCATTTTAAAGTGATTTTTCGGTAAGAGTCAAGGTAAGAGTATAATAAAGTAATAATGGTAGGATTAAATAATTAGATTATAATCGACATTATAACATTGTTTCAGCTAACGTTATAACTGGTTGGAAGCGCGTCAGATGCAATCTCACATGTCATATGATGCAGTGATATTCAAATGTGGCGGAATTATTTGACTGGTGTAATTGCCATAGGTAATTGCATCTGAGGAATTCCCAACCAGTCGGAACGTTAATTGGAGCCACATAGTGGTTGAAAACCACTTTCCAAACAGTTATTCTGTGGTTGGAGCTTTTATATACAGGGTGTATCTGAATGACTGCAACAAACTTCAAGGGGTGGTTCTTTAGTGAATTTTAAGGGTACTTTGATATATGAACCATGGGCGACTTCGGCTCCCCTAAGGAGCTACACCCCTCCAAAATAGCAGAAAATTTTGGTTTAATGTCTTTTTCTCAAAAACCATAAACGCTAGGAAAATGAAATTTGGGGAATATGTTTAACTCATAATAGGGCACATTTTGACCCTATTTGTATTTTCAACTTACCCTTCTAAACTACTAAACGTAACCACCCCCGTTCAATTTATGCCTAAATTTTTTTTATGAAGATGATAAATACATTGGAAAAATTTCAGTTAGATAGATAAAACTATTCTAAAACTTTTTTGTCTCTCTGATTTTCTTCGAAAATTAACAATTTCTGAGAAAAAAATAATTAAGCAAACACTAACTGTTAAGCTGTATGGTTGTTAATCGAAAGTTGGAATGAATTTTTAATGAAAAAATCTTAGTAGGCTTTGCAATATTTGTCAGAAATATTTTTGACGTTTAAATGTCAGTGGTTTTCGTACTATTATTATTGTTTTATTATAATTTTGAAACGTCGAGTGAACGAGCGTAAATGTGTTAGAACTTTATTTAAAAATTAATTTGAAAAACAATAATAATAGTAAGAAAAACACTGACATTTAAACGTCAAAAATATTTCTGACAAAGATTGCAAAGCCTACTAAGATTTTTTCATTAAAAATTCATTCCAACTTTTGATCAACAACCCCGATGTTTAACGTGCAGTATTTGCTTTATTATTTTTTTTCTCAAAAATTAGTCGTTTTTGGAAAAATTTTAGAGAGACAAAAAAGTTTTAGGATACTTTCATCTACCTATGTAAATTTTTTTTAAA